TTGTTTTGAGTTGTTGGGAACTGTAGTCATGTTTTTTTGGCTTCTGCATTCTGGTTTCAGATTTTGGCTAGACATTGTTTGTGAAGTTACTTTCAGTCTAGGTGGATTATTAATTGGCTTAGTTTGAAGACATGTAGGTCTTTGAATGAAGTGGTTGCTATTGTTGTTATTTCTCTGGAACTGGGCCTCTGACAGACCCTTTTCCCATTCCCCACATGATGATGCTTGAGTGATTATGGAGTGGTGATGGAATGATATTAGCATGGGAAAACTGAAGAACTTGGAAAACAAGGCCCATTGCCACTTTTTCCACCACAAATACTACATAGACTGACCCTGGCCTGGTCACATATGTGTGAATGGGGTGGGCATCAAAATGACCCCTGCACTATGACCATTAGCTGATCGCTCAGCCTGGTCCTGAATGCAGGTGTCCTGCTATGAGAAGCTGGTGACTAACCACCTGACCTTTTGCACAGCCTTCAGTAAAGTGGAACTGTGGTATTTTATTTTTTCAGAATGGTGAAACAGTTTCAGGACTGATTTCTTTTTTTTTTTTGGGGGGGGGGGGGTGTTTCTCCTATTGTATAGTTAGTTACACAGTACACAGTCATTTCAGCAGTCCTGTCATTTGTTAAAGTGTCTCTGACAGTCAGTCTGGAGTTGTGATCATTTTGTGTAGCAGTTATGCATTTTGGGGCCATCTTTTTATTTTAAGCTTCAGGATCTGAGATAGTCACTTGTTTCACAACTCCATCTGATATGGTGGGTGAGGACCTAGCATAATGTTGTGCCAAGAATTCCCTTATGGAAGGAGAGTGCAAACTGAGATGGTCATTTTTATTAACTGTAACAAATTTTTTCATAATGCGTCATTTCTGCCACTTGGGTTAAAATCATGTGTTATAGGAGATGCCAGCCAGACTACATGGCTCTATAACCCAGAAGGAAACATCATTCTTAGCCTGATGTTTTTAGTTCAGATACCTTAAAAAAATATAGACTGTTTTAGGTTCTAAATCATAGTGTTGAGTTGGTCTTCCACATTTTCAAACATTTGCACCAGAAACTGATGGGTGACCTTCAGGAGTTGAGTATTGTTGCTGGCAGTCTGTTGTTCATGTTTCCTTTTTACATACTAGAACATTTTTTTGTATTCTCTTACGTAATTAGTTTGTTCCATTATATAGTGGTTTTCCATAACACTCATGGAAGATCAATAATGACAGTTTTAGAAAGTTAAGTTTATATGAAAGAAGAATTTTATAGATGCAACTTTAGAATATAACATGTCGGATTTTGTGTTTTGAAATGTTGCAGGAACTGCTGCAGGAAGCTGAAGCAGATGAAAGTGAGTGTGGGGATGGTCATAGGGGTGGGGCTGGGGCCATTCCAGAGCAAGTAGTTCCAGTGAGCAGCTCCCGCTATTATAGTAATAGCAACAGACGGCGCGGGCGTCGAGATTCAGCAGTATCAGAACGTCAGACTCGTGGAGGCTCTCTACAAAACCTAGTTCATGCCTTTAACTCTGAGTTTGACACTTCAGGGTTTGGTTACTTCAGTCAGTCAAGTGGGCACTCTGGTGGTGTCGGTAGGAGGAAATCAAAACGTATTAACAGTGGGCGTGACTACAGTGTAAGTGTGAGTGCCCGACAGCGAGAAGGTGGTTCATTGCCCAGTAATGTAAATGTGGGTGGGGCTGGAGGAGGAATGCTCACATTGAGTGGGCTTGAATTCCCTCCCACTGCTCCTCTCTCTTCAGCAGCGACTGCTGCCCTACTTTTTGATGACACTCGAGGCTTTGTAAGTAAGCAAAATAAACAGCGAAGGGAACTGGGACATACGTTGTCAGCGAATGAATTTACAACCGCAATGCCAGTTCACTCTTCAACAAATGTTTCTTATCAAGCTGGAGGTGAGACTCCAAACAATGTGTCAAAAGCTGATTTCATGGTTGTTGATCTTAGGGACTTGAGTAAGAATGTACAGGAGACAAAGACCAGTGGTGTGGTGGTGGGGGAGAGTGCGATGGAGGGTGCGGGTGGCATAGCGAGTCTAAGTGGCGGTGAGGGTGGGAAGTTGCTTGGTGGTGACTTATGCAGTGATGTTATGGATCAGGAAGTAGGCACTGAGTTGGAGGTGATCCAGAGGAGCGAGGCAACTCGAGTTCCTAACTACACCAGTCGTGCCACATTAGAGGTTGGCCTTGGTGACTGCAGTGCCAAGAATAAGAATGTGATGGATGGTGGGGATGTTGACACCACTGTTGCATTTCCACTGGGAATCATACAGGTATGTTTAGTGACAGAAAAATTTTCTTTTACATCTTTATGGATTACTGATTGTGTTAACCTTGTAGATTGTATTACTTAGATACCTGTTCAGAAGATGTTGAATGATCATTCAAATGTCTTGGTTATAAATGTGTGAATGAAAATTAAATGTATTAATAAAAGTATGGTTTATTTAATCAAGGAAAATCTTATAAGAACTTAGTGAGAATAAAAGTGCATTTGTTTTCTAACTTCACTGAAAATTGAAGGGCTGTTTAGTCTGAGTTGCTGATAGTGATGTCATTAAATAAGCTTCAAAGCAAAAATAAACATTATCTAACGAATGTATGAAAATATGCATTTATCATGTTGGTATTGAAGTTCTGCCAGATAGTTATTGAAAATGTTGATTGAGGTCACTGAAGTTAACCTAGTGTTAGGTTGTACCATATTTATGTTACAGTTTGTACTTATAATTTGTCTGCTTCAATTTAAAATATATACATGTACACAAAAAAGAATATGCTTTAAAATTTGTATAAGGTTTTGTTTCTTTGAAAGTAAAATTAGTGTCAGTTCTGAAAATAATAATTATAAGCTGAGAATTTGAAGTGATGTGCAATGGTATCAGTGCTATTGAAACTTTAGTTTCTGCTTCAAACATTTCATATACGCTATGTATGATATATATGTGTGTGTGTAAAAGGAATCTTTGATCGATCCACCCTTCCAACTCTCTTTTTTGGTGGGGAAGATCAGAGATGTGCACTTTTGCCTCTCAGTAGAGAAGGCCAGTGATTATGTCACACTGTCACTAGAAATTGTCTTGTAACTTATCTTATCTTGAAGTGGATTCTATTCTGTAGGTTGTAAACTTCATTTTGTAAATTAAGTTCGGTTTTTTAATTGTTGTTTACTCTGATATACGTGGGTGTTATATAAGTTTGTAACTTCATGGCAAATATATCTCAGCAACTTTATTAGGAAAGCAGTTTGAAAACTGCATGCATTTTACTCCCAATTATTTATGTTTGGATTGTTTGGTTTATTCAAATTTTGTCATTGCCTTTTTATTTGTTTATTTTTATTGATTTTAGGAATTGTAACTCAAAACTTTGCATTTTTTTACACATTTGTGGATTGAACCTTTTTCACTTTTCCACCTTGTCTAATGTGTATTTTTAAAAGTCCAGTTGCATCTCTCTTCTCATTCTTTTACTGACATTTTTACAATTGACAAAAATATAGTTTTCATTGTAACCAATTATTTATCTTATGAATATCTGTTTCAAAAAACTGCCTTCAGAAATTGTCTTAGGACAGTTGTGGTTTTAATGAAACAAAATACTAGTTATGGGTTTGATGAATAACCCTCCTTTTCTCAAGTCCAGGGATATGAGAATTATGTTTTGTAACATTCTTTTCTAGCGCATGATCTCTGCACCAGCTGAAGTTTTGAGTAACATTGATAATTTTTTCAGTATTGCTTCTTATCTTTGATAATGTTGCAGTACTGTTACGTGATCTCATATATTTATTTGCCCCCTTGCAGTAAGTGTAAGCAGTATTATGTTTGTTACCTCTTGTTTTACTTCCTCAGGATTGTCATCAAATAGACATTTCTTGGCATTTTGAAGTTCAAGTCAAGACAAGAGAGGCAACTGATTGTATCTTTATAATTTTCTGTACTAGGAGGTGGAATTTCCCAAACTATCTCATACACACAAACTTTTGCATAAGGACATGAAAGCTAGTGATCAGACTGGCAAGACATTCTGGAATGGTGTTATGTAGTAACAACTTTAATTTTAGATGTGACGTGTTGATTAACCAACTGTTCTTCTTTTATCCTTTGTTGTGAATGAAGGAAGGAAGGATGAAAATAAATAAAGATTTAAAAAAATAATTACAAATTTTGGCCTCCGAAGCTATAACAGACATAGTCGTTTAAGAAAGATCTCATTTGGAATTTAACCCTGGTCACCTATGCTGTAAGGAAAGCACACTAACTGAGGTTTTGCAGATAATGAGACAATGTAAGTGTGTCCCTTTTACAAGACATGAAGTAAAGCTAAAGAAAGTGGAACATAAAATTATGTATTTTCAAAGAAATGGTAAAGTGTTGACACCTAATATTTTGATGGTAATTCAGAGCAGGGTTTACTGTCATACCAAAAAACCAAAGCTGAATCGGAGGTTATCAGTGGACTGTGTCCAGTTGTTAGTGGCAGTCAAATTTGTGTTTTAATGGTAGACTAAATGGCATCGGGCTCATTATATTTTTGCCAAAAAGACAACAACTTTGATTTACAGTAAGTGAAAAATAAACTTGCTGGCAGAATGATCTTATGCTGTTTTAAAGTTACTCTGCATAATAGGTTCCTAGAATATTAATTTCAAGTGATTTTGAAGTTCTTGGTGTTTGTTGAACAATCATAGAATGAAATTGATTGGAGGAAGGTATCAGAGGAGATGCTGAAAATGGAATTGTAAGAAGGAGAATATTAACTTCATTAATTGCAACATTTTTAATTAATTACCGTTATGAGCTAAGCCTGTGGCTGAGGTGGTACAGGCAAGTACATGCAGAATTTTGGTAGAAATTGTCTGAAAATGTCCAGTTGGAAGTTTGAGAAAGAGACAGGATAGCATTAATGGAGGTGGACTACATTTCTCAGGATCATGTCCAGTGGCAGATTTTGCATTGGAATGTTCAGCCAACAGTTTTTGTTGACACAGTGATGGCCAGTCACTGTTTAATCAACCAAACAGTAAAATGAGGATGGATTAATTAATTATATCCCACTTGGCAGTTGTGGGTTAAGTATCGTAATAATTGCATTAGAACCTTTAGTGTTGTATTAGTGGTAATAATTTTTTGTTTTTTTCCTTTGTTGGTGGATTTGCTGTCACATGTGGTTCTTCATATAAGTTTTTATTTATTTCCTTATTGGTGAAAAATATGCTTGCAGTGTGAGAAGAGTGGTGGTGTAGTGAATGGTGTGGAGCAGAGTCCCCTGCAACTTCCATCTTCATACAACTCAGTGAAGTGTATTGTGGGATCAACCAGTAACAGTAACCGTGAGGACAGGAGTAGCAGTGCCACCAAAGGTTAGTACCAACCATGTTTTTGATCATAATTATTTATCTCACCATATTGTGATTGTTTTACAGGCAGTAATTGTGTGTTGTATATGCCTAGACATAAGACATGTCATAAATATGTGGAATGCTCCTTTTTTAATGCCGTCCCAAGAAGGGTATGTTTGGCCATTTTGTTCTTCACAGATCGAACTGATATACTCCATAGCAAGTCACTGTTATGTTTTATTGTATTTTGTTAAATTATCGTATTAGCCTCTGTCTAAATAAATACGTAATAATAAAGTGGTGATTGTTGCGCTAGTTTATTATTTCATGTAAGATAAAAGTTGCTTGAATTAACAAAACTAGCACAATTTTGGGTTGTTTGTACTGATGAATTGAAAGAACTGTGTTGGTGATGGTACAAAAGTTTCTCATAAAACCCTCATTAAACATAATCGCAGCACCATAATCCATATTCTTTGCTTTGGACTTCAAGATTTTTTCCATGAACACTTCAAGTATTTGTAGGTGGTGTTGAACTCAAAGTCGAAAAACATGTGCGTGTTAGCTTTGCCATGCCTACCTATCCACATGTAATAGTTCAGGAACTGCTGAATGGTTTGTCCTGAAGGTGATTTTGGAACTTGCTACTAAAAGTTGTGAACTTTTTGATTTTAGTTAAAGATTGGATATCTTTACTGACTTAGCTTTGTACATATACATATGTTTTGCAATTTATTTGGATTTAATAGCATTGAAATAATTTGCACTGATGTCCTCACATTTATTTATTTATTCCCACAACTTGTATTGGTATTCAGTTTTTTGCCATCAAGCAAATCTGTTTATCATGTGGTCAGAAACTACATTTCTTCAAAGATACATCTTAATATCCAGGTACAACTTTGATTTAATTCATATCCATAACTTCATTAACAGATATGACTTATACTCATAAAGAACTTTGCATTAAATTTGAAGAATGCCTACTTCCATTCATTTCAGAATCATTTATCTGTCTGTCTTCTTAAGCAATTGACATTGTAATATACAGTATAAGACAATGACTTTGGCTTTTGTTTTACATGTGAGTGAAACTTGGTCTCTTGCTGTAAGGTAAGGACATAGATTGAAGGTATTTTGGAATGGTGTTGTGAAAAGTATTTTATTAAAGATAGGGGTACAGGAGGTTGGAGAAAGTTGTGTGTTGAGGAATTTTCATAATTTATACTCCTTAAAAAACACTGTGATCATCAAATAAAGGAGGATGAGATTAGCAAGACATACAGCACGTGTTTGGATGAGAAGTGAGTACAAAATTTAAGTCAGAAAACCTGAAAGGGAAAGACCACTTGGGAGATCAAGGCATAAATCGGATGTTAATATTGAAACAGCTTTTAAGCTGTGGATGTGGACTGGATTCTTCTGGCTCAGTATGTGTTCCACTCATTAGCTCCTGTGAAGTTAGTAATTAACCTTCAGGTTCCATAAAGGGCAAGGAATTTCTTAATCAGCTGGACACCTATTGTCTTCTGAAAGACTCAGCTCCTTGGACTTAAGTTTTGACCTAATGTTGGAATAAAATTTATATGAATGCCAGCTGAAAGTAAAATCGGTGAAGCAAAGTGACATTTTGTAGTGAACGGGTCAGTGATACACAATGTCCAAATTGTCTTGTATTGTGTATTTTAGAATTGTATTAAGGTAAAGGAGGACATTTGGAAGTTTGAAAAATAACACGTTGATGTCATTTAAAACTTACATTTCCTAACTAGGGTGTACGGGAATGACATTTTTAAAGTATTCATTATGTTACAACTCATGACCATCACAAGAATTTCTAATAATACTTGGTGTTTTTGAGTTGCCTTTTTTATGTTTATATACTTGGTTTTATTAACAGAGTCTGAAGCTGTGTGGAGTGATGGCTGAGATAACATACTATTACAGCATAGAGAATACAAATTTATATCTATCTTAATTATACTAAATCACAAATGTGTATTAGGAAAATTGTGTTCTTGTTGTATTGAATTAAAAAATAATTTTATGTATGAAAACAGTTGGTAGGGAACAAAAATGTTTCATGAAAGGAAAGGTATGTTTTCTCATTGACTGTCCACATCCACATTTGCACAGTGTTTTCTTAAAATGATAATTATGTAATAACATGTGTTAACATTTGCGCATGAAACATTTTCCATTCTCATCCTCATGTCAATTCTTGATCTTTTTAAAAAATAAATTTCGTACGTTACATTATCACTCCCGTTGAGCTTGTATTCTGTGTAATAATCTGCAGTTTGTTGTAGTGAGTAATTTGGTGCTAATACGTAGAAAACTGTGATTAGTAGTTTGTAGTGTTGGGGTCATTAGTTGTGGTGTGTTTTTATTTTGAATTAACTTTATTCGGTTCTCTATATTGCATGTTGTGTATGTAAAACTCAGTCTGTAACAAACATAAACTGACTTACAAGATTATTTCTAATTTGTTTTTATTTATATAGCACAATCTGCAATAGATACAAACTGACTTCAGAGATCATTCTGACAATAGCTTGATTATAATTTAATACATAGCAATGTACACCCCATCCGTTCCATCCCTACCCCTCAAGGGTTGTGGGAATCAACAGTCTGTATGTAACTCCAGCAAAATGCATCTTCTGAAATGAGATTCCTGAGATTAGTGGCAGATGGCAGAAAAATTGGTGAAAAGAATAACATAAATAAGAGGTGGGAGCTAAATAAATTCAGCCAAAAGAATACCAGTGGATCTACTTGAAATTATTTGAGTGCCAACTTAATGAATTCTTCAGAAGCCATTTGAATACTATCCTAAAGGAAGAAGAGAGGTCAACCACTGAAGAGAAGGGAAGATCAGTTCATCTAATCCAGTTATCAGAACAGGTCAGAAGGCCTAAACCCTGCAGCTGATGATGGTTTTCACCAGTCTTGAAATGATGCCTAAATTATACCTTAAACTTCGTTACATATTTAGATGAGTATTATCTCTTAAGTTTTCAGTTATAATGTAAATTGTATTTTCACTTTGCAGTGGGTTTTTTTATGTGTGGCCAAGTACATATGTGCTATGCCATAGTATAGGTGGTTTGTCACCAGTTTCCCACCGCAGAGACCTGTACTTGCTCTCAGATCAGTCCATGTGGTGGACAGAGTGGCACTGGGACAGGTTTTTGTCTGAGTCTTTCAGTTTTTCCCTGTCAGTTTAATTTTGCTTCTGCTCCATATTCACTTGTATCATCTGGGAGATGGACAGTGGGATAATGAACATAAGGGTACAGAATGTGAGTTGCTTTGAAATTTGTTTTATTTATATTTTTTATGGGCTATGTTTTCTAATGCTTATCGTTCACAATTTTAAAGCCTCCACCTTGATACTTATGAACAAATTAAAATTCTGTCTGATACATAGGTCAACTGTATTACCTAACATGTGGGTTCTATGCAGTTCTTAGTTGGGAACCTGAAGCACTAAACTTATATACTTTCATTACAAATCTACAGTAGTGACAGTCTACTGGAGGCATGTGTTTGAATACTACAGTAATGAAGGTTAATTTTGAGAAATTGTATTATTTTGAAGCTGTTTGATATTCGTAAAAATCAATCATCTGAATAATTTGCTTTGGCTGTTTTTATTTTGTGGAGAGCCTGCCCATATTTCCCCGAAGAGGCTGAATATTTCATTGCTGGTGTAGTATGTATGACCTATCAGTTACAGGAGTGAACTTTTTTGTATTGAGCATTATTACAGTTTATTACAGCATTGTCTTTGCAAATCACATTGAAATGCAAAATTTATCAAGTAAATTAAATTTGAAAACATCTGTATGGAGACATTAACCAGATTCCTGCCAAATGCACCAACACAGTAGTCTGCCAGACACCACCATAGTCTCGTTTTAATTTTTTGCTACCAGTGCTGCTACTGTCAGAATTTAATTTAAATTTTTCACACAATGCAGAAACAGTGTTCTTATGCAGGTGAGCATGATGAACACTGGCTGTTTTATTAGGAGTAGATTCTATGTGAATCTTTCAGTTTACTATGTACTGAATCCCTTTGTTGTATATTACTGTGCCCAGGCTTTGAATATTTTTGGAGTATTATTTTCACTTTGCGTGTGTGTGAAGAAGTCCTGAAAATACTGTTTGCTTCTGAATATTGTTTCCGTCCTCTTTCTTTTATAATTTTTAAAAGACAATATTAATCAAAATAAACAAAAAAAATTGCTCATGAATAAACAGCAGACAGCTAATACAGAATCAAACATCAACCTTCAGTCTTACTGTCTACTGAGTATTGGATTGTACTGTGTCCAGTTCATGTGACATATTCCATGAGTCCCATTGGAGGGTGTGCCTAGAACATTTCAATTCTAAAGCAGATTGAAAATTGGCAGCTAGTATAGATTAATAACATTTATGTACAGAAATGTATCCTGTAAGAAAGAATGTGTGAGTTATGTTATAAAATACACTGGAAATGGTGAATACCCTTAGTTTAAAAAGAACAATCCATTTCTTGAGCAGAAAATTGTCGAAGATATGTTGTTAAGCAACCACATAAAAAATAAAATAAAATGTGACTTGATCAGCTCAGAATTATTTGTCTTTGTCTGTTAGGAAGACAGTGACATGGAGTATTAGTAAATTGTGTCTGTTCACAATTTTTATTGCTATATTGAAGAGCTTTTTGTAACAAAGTGAAAAGAGATGAGGAGTTACACAACTTTCCCCTTAAAGAAAAAGAATAAAAAGAAACATTGATGCTACCTATGCGATTGTACAGGGAGCGATGTTGTCATGAAGCAGCCCCCTGGTAGCAACAGTGGAGCAGAAGTATCCAAGACTGCAGCAGCAGCAGGTAGTTTGCTGCACAGCATGCCTCCCAAGCAGCATGTGAGCTATCTGTCAATACCTCCTACCAGGTGGATAGCAACTTCACTTGGCTCAGGTGCGTTCTCACAGACGTGAAAGCCGACAGTGGGAGGCATCCATCCATCCATCCATCCATCTCTTGATTTTGTTGTCCCATCTGTTCCTATTTTGCCCTCTCCTGAGGTGAGGACACGTTGCAATGCAAGCTGCTGCTTTGCTTCTCTTGGCTCTTGGATGTGTCTGTTTTGTGTAACAGGTTTCCTGTCATAACTGTTTGAAGTCAGAATTGGGGATTGGTCAGGATAAAGAGCGATCTGTTGTGGCATGTTTCACTGTTACGAAGATTTGAATTTCCTTTGACAAATATTTTGACGGTACACAAGGGGTTAATTTAAACATTTTTATAAGGATCAAGAAGATGTGACTAGTAGACATTACCTCTCCAGCTTCAGGGATTTGTTAACACACATACATAGAATTAAGATTTGATGTGAACATTATTTTTTAAAAAGCTTTGTAATATGGAAAGAAATTAATTCCTATAATATTACGTCTGTGATGTAAATGCTATATTATCGTCTGGTTTGATATGCTGTAGCAAATTGGTGATTACTCTGAATAGTGATGGAAGCACATTAAGAACAGTCAGTACCTTCTATTGGTTGTGTGGCATTTGTGCTGATGTATGAGATTATAAATAGTAGCAGAAGAATATTAGTGCAAGAACTAAATGAAACTTGAAGAATTTTGGTGTTCATAATTGTACAACCATATCACAACAGATTCAGCAAATTTTGCAAGGATTTGTCAGCAGGTCTGAATCTGTCATTTCAGGAGGAGTACAATCTGTATTGAAGTATTGGCTTGACATTTTGTTTCTAGAAGGCGAATTCTCCAGTAAAGAAAAGTGGCACTAATCTTCATTTCCACCAAAGAAATGTGTAACTGCAGTAGCCACTCCACTGATAAATTCTTGAGGTGTAGTGTTCATGAGGTGTTTGTATCACCTTAAAAGTTCCTTTGCCAGTATGACAAATAAGAAAGCTTCTGAGAAATGGGACTTTTCTGAAAAAGGAAGTTCTTGATAATTACAAAGGTGTCTCTCCTGCAAGATTTTTTGGGCAATTTGGCAACATTTGAACACCACTCATATATCAGATGAAGATGTTTACATTGTTGTGCATTGTACAGCGTGTCCACTGATGAAGTTGAATGCACTTGTTACTTAATGGCTACCTGCAGGAATTATTGACTTGTTACCAAGCACTCAGCATCTGCTACCAAAATTATTCAGACAGTGGTGTAACTGTGTATGACATGTTAATTAATAGTTATTTATGTGACTAGGTTCATTATACTGTTGAACAGCATGATTTTCTGAATGAGTCATGTGAAATTTAATATTGCTATAAAGTTCTGTTCATTCACAAAATTCCTCTTGCTGTGTGATGCATAATGGATGCTAAACAAATTGTTGGGTCCGTACTCTGCAGAAACAGTTCTGATTGGTATGGAGACTAATATTTACAGATTTCTTCACGCAGCTTACAGATGAGGAACCATCATGCTCATTTTAGCAGGATTCAGCAACTGCCCACACCTCAGACAATTCTCTGAAGGCTGTGGAAAGGATATTTTTTGACAGAATAACAATATGTAATGGTTTATGGTCAGCACGGTCTTACCCCATGTCACTTTTATTTGTGGGGTAATTTGAAAGACAAAGCCTGCGGATGGAGGAATAGTAAAAGGAAAACTTATGAAGAAGTGTCTTGTGTGCATTTAAACTTCTTTAATTGCATAGAGAGAGAGTGCTTGTGCAGGAACAGGTTTTTCAGGACGTCTTATGACATAGGTAAGTTGATTTTTACTGTTTTTAGGAGCATTACTTGACTCATGCCAGGAAAATCTTGTAGTGCTTGGCAGTGAGTCATGTTGTTCCTACTTGGAGCTGGGAAGTATCAGTTGCATTTAACTTTGTCATTGGATGCACTGTAATTGTATCCTGTAGTTTTGATTATCTGGTAATGGTAGTAGGAGTTTGGGTTATCACCAGTTGTGCTTGCACACATTGCATCCATAGTTGAAAGAAGCTTATATAATGATCTGCTTGTGTTACAGTATGAAGTGCCTCTCCTTTATTTTTCTCTTTCATTTTCTCTTCCACTAATACGATGTATTGCATTAATTTGGCCACTATTCCTCAGTAACCTGACCCTTGAAAATTTCCTGGTCTATTCAGGTGATGATGATAAGCAAGTGGAGAACAAAAAGCACCATGGCGGGAGGAAGCAGCTCGATGGAGGTAGTAGTGTGATTGAAACCCAAGACAACCATATGTATGGGAGTGTCCCGTTAACACATTGGAGGAATTTTTGTGGGTTTACATTTATGGACCTTAGTGGTGAGTGATTGATTGATTGATTATAGGGAAAAGAAAGAAAGTGGAGTTTAGTGATGGGGAGGTGGTTTGTTTTTCTGTTTTTCAACAAAATTATTGATAGTGTTCTGTTTTTCCCTTCATCCTCTTCCTGCACACACATTCACAAATGCACATGTGCTTAGGCCTTTATTACTGCTTATAAGTAGGTTCAGAAGTGGCCATTTAGTTCACAGTTTATCAACTTGATTGGAGTTTTTGAAAATTATGTGAAGGGACAACAGCATGCAGTGCTAGGATCCTTTCAGTGAAGTCCCTACGTAATTGGTTCGCAGGGCCTGAATAATGTACGAGGAAAACTGTAACAAACTATGTGGGCTAGTGCTCCAGTTCTGTTTTTGTTATCATGTTGCTGTACCATTAATCAGTAGATCAAAAAGACCAAAGTGTAAATGCTTCACATTTATGTAACATAAGAAATATCAGTTTGTATTATTTTTAAGTTTGAGGATATTAAACTAATTATGTTTTGCTTTTGGTGGGGGCCTTTCTTGGTGCTTGGAATATTTTAATTATCTTCCTGCATATTATGGGTGTTACCACATAATCTGAGAACAATTATTTCCTTTCTTTTAAGTATCTGAAAGTTTCATCTCTCACCTTTACATAAGTTTTTTTCTCATATTTGAAATTGTCATTTGTCTTATATATACATTGTGTCCTGAAAAGATATATACGCTTGAGGTTAATATTTGGAATTATAATCTGTATTCATCATTTTGGGAAACATACCCCACCCCACGCATTGCCTCTGTCATTTTTGTCTTTTGTAGAAAATATATTTTTGTAGCTGTTCTTATTTGTGTCAGTCATGATTCATGATTTTCATTTTCTTTTCAAAACGAACTTATATAATCCCATGGTTATATTTAAGGTTTAAGGTGTTTTGGTGACACAAGATAATTGCATGTACATGAAATAAATATGCAGTTACAAATATTAGTATTATGTATCATCTACTAGCCTCTTCACCTTGAATTGTCACCAGTACAGGACACATTGTTAGACTTAAAAACAATAGGTGTGTGGTTCATATGTCCTAGTGATATGTTATTCGTTTAAAAACTAATTTCCAAAATCCTTTATTATTTTATATTTTTTCATGACTGAACAAAATTCAGTATGTGGGAAACCTAATGGCTAGTCCTGTTCAATTTTTTGTATGCAAAATTTGTTTTAAATTCCATGTTATTGGCAATACTATGGTGTCCCACTGTTGATTTGTGATTTTCAAGGCAGTGGTGTCTCGGGATAGTTCCCTTTATAATAATCATCGCATTGTTGTACTTGAGTGTTGAACATTAAATATAATTAGGTAGTGATTGGAAACTGTTTTGTCTGATTTCAGACTCTAAATTATTCAGTAACTATTGTTGTGAAAACCATTTGTTTTTGTCATTTTTTTCTTTTATTTCTTTCTAACATACTGTTCATGTGATGCGAAATGCAATGGTGCATATGGTTATTCATTTGCATGCTTATGTATTGTTGCATTGTGGTGGCGGTGCAGTTGTGTAGTGGATTTGTGCTAGTAGTTATGACAACAATGACACACAGTGATATTGATTTTTTCTGTTATTTTTCTTTTATCAGTGCATTCATAAAATGAACATCATTTGGATGATGGGTATAATAATGTTGGTACATGTACTGCCAAATCATTTAAATAAATAACAGTTCAGGGCCACAAAACAGTTCGGTTATCAAGTTTATGGTTTAAGTTTCTGCAACACTTGAATGTTTAAATTGAAATGTTTTAGTGTTTAATGTTGTTTATAATTTTGTTTAAATTAACAAAAAAAGGAGTAATTAACTGCATGAAAAGTGCTTTTATTGGAAGATGTCATTAGTAGCAGGTAAATTTTAACATTAAATTGTTATATTTCTTTGTGACGATTCACATCTTTGCATAGTAACTGGGCAGACAGATTTACTTGGGAAAATTGTGGTCCTCTGCTGCATTTCTGTGCTTTGTTAAATTTATCAGGAACAGTGACTTGAATTTTGCGTGTAACATCTAGAGCTTGTGGCCTGAGGTTAATTCATTTCTTAAGTTTACATGTGTTACATTTACCACAATTTCTTAAAACTGATGGAGCAGTCTCTCATATGTAACTGATTTGTCACTTCTTTGACCAGAAATTTCCTGCTTACATTGAACCCTAAGGTTCATTATGATGTTAACAAGAGCCTGTCACTGAACAGTATATAGAGCCATTTGAATCCATTCCACATCTTTGCACCCTCTTTCTGTAAGATTTATTTTAATCTCCTATACACCTAGGTTTTCCATGTGGGTCTGTTCTCTATGGGTTTTGTAACAAAAAATTATTAATTTCTGGTCTTTCCTTGTTCTGTGTGTCCTGCCCATCTCATTCTTTCTGTGACAACCCCAGCTGTTTATAAAAATTATAAATTGTAAAAGTCCATCATTGTGTAATTTTTACCTTCATAGTGTTTTTCTTTAGGGTAAGACCAAAATTTGTTAGTTTTATAAACATGTTTAGATTTTTAGATGGAAAAGATAAGATTCTGAACTGAATCGTGGCAGTTATGCAATTTTGATTTGTTCTTGTAATTTTCAGATATTTCAGTTTGCCATGTTTTCAAAGAAATCATTATTTGGCTTTATATCATAATTTTGTTCTGGAGTTTGGTGAAGAGACATAAGTATATACCTGGAATGTTTTATAGTTCTTAGTGTGGTTTGAGATTATCATGGTGGTGAGTACAAAAGATGGCTGTCTTCTGGGTTGTAGTGCCATGTAGTCAGGTAGACATTACTCACTACCGGGAGAACCTAAAATCTTTCTTGGTAAACTGCTGTGGGGAGCTTACTCATTGCTACATTTTATAGCTCTTGTTTCATTGCACACTTGATCTGTTAGCTAAATATTCATTAAAGTTTTGGGGAAAATGTGGAAGATTGTTTCCTGTTTCTTTGCTGCTACTTTCTTGTTTATTGAATACTTTTTGTATTTTTTGTATATGAAGTGATATGTTAAAATACATTGAATGCCAGTTTCATTAAAGTAGAGAAGGGAATTGTATCAGTTTTGTGCAGCTCTGCAATGAATCATGAAGCCATAGTCATCTGAATTGGACTATTTTAGTACTAAGAGAAGCTGTTCATTGGGAAAGTGAGTAGACATGCTATTTTCTAATAAAATACATCCCTAATGTTTTTAGTTGTTAAAAAATTTACCTACACAATGAAGGATATTTTTAATTTTCAGTCTTTTTACCATGTTAATTAAATTTACAGTCATAATTGGTGTCTACTATGAAATACAGGCAGTCATAAATTAGTAGCTGATTTGTACCGCATGTTGTTATTTATTTATAACACACATGAAAAACTTGTTTATGAACTTCCATTACTGCATGTGAAAAAGCTTGATTGTTATATAATTATTCTGTGGTACATAAAGTTTTTTTGTGTTAAAAATAACTAATTACACACCCTTTGAATTGTCTGATAATTTGTGGACACCTGGTGTGTATAATGTGATCAAATTCTTTTAATAGATGGTGCTGTAGGAGTGTTCAGATTTTATATCTGTATAAAATGTCCAGTGTGAAATAAAAGTGGCTAATGGGTTGCTGTTCCCTGCAGTAGTAGTAGTTTGTTTTTGTATGTACTTGGAAGCACTGTAAGCTGTTGACTAATATTTGTTCACCCACTTGAAAATTACCTTTGTGAGAAGTCCTGAGAATTGATGCCTCTAAGTTAGCATTCCAGTTTATTTTTATGGCATAATCAACTACGAATCTTGGTGTTTAAATTACAGTTAAAGCTCATGTTTTTTTTTTTGTCTTATTATTTGTTAGTAGATAAACTAAACAGCAAGAAATGAAGCGTTTTAACACAGCATAAATTGCATGCAGAAGAAATGTTGAACATATTTACATTTATGGACAGTTACCTGATGTGGTGTAGGTTTCAGTAAATAAGGTTTAATTTAGTTACACAAGTTCACATAAATTTGTGGTTTATCTGTTTAATGTTGAAACATTTGCGTTTTTGTGATTGTGCAATTCTTTAATCCCTGCACCACCAACACTTACTGCATAATAGTGGTTCATGTAGAGGAAACTTTTGCATTATTTAAGGTTAACCTGTTGCATTAACATTCTGGTTTCATGTGTAAAAAGTTTGTATCCATGTCAAATATAATATCTACTGTCTTACATTTGTTGAACTAGAGGGTACTTTCTAAATTAAATTATAACTTCTGTTGTTTAGATGATCACTTATCTTGCATCTGTAAGCAGTGGTAGTACTCTGGCTTGGTTTTTATATATCACATCACTTGTTTAATGAATGAGGAAATTACTTGTTTACAAAATATTCTCAATAAGGAGTTCTTGAAAGTTTAAAATTACATATAATATATCCATATTATGGTACTGTACTTTGGTAGAAATGCAGCAATATGTTGTTAGATGAAAACATTAAATTTCTGTTATTGCGTTCAGACAAAATTAGGGATGCTTAAGTGACTGTGTGCATGGTTTCACTCTAATGCATTCATGGAGGGTCCCAGAATAAGCTTCCCACTGTCTCGACTTCATCATGGATATGATTCTAGATATGTTTGTTTCAAGTTTTATTTTAAAGATGTCTGCTACTAGCAGTCACTAACAATTTGCAGTATCTTTGCATTGGTTATGTAGAAACATGAACTTCATTTGTATATATCTATAATACTTTTTTAGAAATTGTTACAGCATTTTAAAGATGTATTAAGCATATGAATTGTAATGGAAAATGGCCTATAGAAGTATTTATAAATGTACAATGAGCATATCTTGAGCTTCCAAATTTACATTCAAGCTCTCTAACCGCTGTATATATTTCGGAGTTATTTCTCCTTTTGTATGTTATTAAAAGTCTACCAAAATTTAAATGTTACAGTGTCCAACAAATTTTAGAAGCTTTGAATTCTTAAAAATCCAGTATT